TTCGATTTGGCAATTTAGCGGTGGCTAAACTGTAGAATCCAGCTATAAAAACCGCCACAAAGTTCGAACGTGAGCAGCAAGGCATCTCGCAGCGTGTTCTTCGGAGTTGCAAAGTCTCAGCAAAGGTTCAAGAAAAAATCTCGATCCATTTTTCCTCCTTTTGCAAGCATGAAGAAGGTGACACTCTCAACTTGTGGGAGCTGCGAGGGAAAGACTGATGCGCTTAAGAAGATCAAAGGTATGTGGATTGGAAATTTGAAAGCTGATATCGTTTCTTGTTTTTGAACAACAGGGGTTGATAAGGTGGAATGGGAGTCGTCAAGCCTGGTAGTGATCGGCAAATTTGATGTGGACGACGTGGTCAAGGCGATGGATTGCCACCACAGCATTCTTCGTTCTGTCGAGAACGATTATGAGCCCCCAAAGAAGGACAAGGAGAAGAAGGGCGGTGGTTCTAGCGTTGTATATGTTTACACCCACACCTACAATCACTACAATTGCAAGTGAACTTCAGGAGTTTCTGATCTAAAAGCCAAGTTCTTAGGGTTTCTTATTTCGCATACTTTAGTTTAAAATTTAACCCTCAATTTAACGTAAGGGTTTAAGGATGGAATTAAATTTTCAAAACTTGAATATTTTTTGATCAAACTGATGAATAATGCCGGTGCTCAGCCGTAGTCAATACGATCGGTGTGGAGTTCTAGAATAGTAAACTAGCAGAGTTTTTTCCTACCTTACCTTTTTTATGTTATAAAAAACAACCATCGATTAACTGGTCCGAACTCACGGGAAACAGCTTTTTGGGGCCGAAATTTCCACGAAATTGTTCCCGCAAGGACAATTATGAGAGAGTAGAAGAAGGAACATCATGAAGTTCATCCCACGGTGCCACGCGATGTGCGGAATAGTGGCAACGACCACTTCTAGTAGGGAATCACCCATTTGCTGCTGTATGATTTGCTGCTCAACTTGAGTTCTAGGCTCAAACGCGACAATCTTTTGCGGCTTTGATGAATCGGTCTCTCAGCTAGTTGGAATGTCCTCTTCATAAGAAGAATAGACTGTTAAAGTTGCAACAACGCGGATCTAGACAGCGTGAAATTTTCTTCTGCATTGTGGTCGTCTTTGACTATTCGCTGAAATCGCGAGGAATTTGGTGGTGACGCGTCGTCCTACAAAGACTGTACCGTAGAATCAAGCTATAAAAACCGCAAACGTAGCAGCAAGGCATCTCGCAGCGTCTTTCTCGGTTTTCTGAGCAAACATCTTGAGCAAGCAACTAGTAATCTCGATCCATTTTCCTTTCCTTGCAAGCATGAAGAAGGCGACACTCTCAACTTGTGAAAGCTGCAAGGGGAAGACCGACGCGCTCAAGAAGATCAAAGGTATAGCACAATCTTTGCATTGGATCGCGGCCCTGATTCCATGAAATCTCTGAACAGGGGTCGATAAGGTGGAGTCGGAGTCGTCAGGCCTGGTGGTGATTGGAAAATTTGATGTGGACGACGTGCTAAAGGCGATGGATTGCCACCACAGTGTCCTTCGTTCCATCGAGAACAATTACGAGCCCCCCAAAAAGAAGGAAGACAAGAAGGAGGAAGGTTCTAGCGTTATATATGTGTACACCCACACCTACAACCAGTACTGGAAGTGAGTTAAAATAGTGTTTGTGTATAGAAGTAGTTTTTCTCTTCCACTTCAAATACTTGAATTCATGGGAGGTGAAGCAATTTCGAAAGCTTGAAACCGATGCGGTTCAGAGATCAAAAGCGAATCTAAAATATTGATCCCGCAGAAAGAAGAAAGAAAACACACCGGAGACTCTATGGTGGCTCTCAGCTCTAGTAAACTTCTCACTTCGTCAAAACATCATTTTTATCCTAAAAGTGATCCTCCTCCTGTTTAGAGAAATAAATGGTTTATTTTCTGAGGAGTTCCAAGTGAGTTCCAGGCTATGCGATTGGAATTGTTTAGAAGATTATATAATGCTATTCAAGCTTCAAACTTTAAAAAAATGGTCCGTGAACGTGGACTGACCTTTCAATCTTACCTTCTTTTCTGGATTTAAGCGATCAATGTAAGCTTCTTTGGTCTCCCGGCTCGAATGGACTTTTTCTTCCAGCGATTTCAGAAAGGGAGCACGAGGGTGTCAAGTTGCAACACCAAAACAAATCCATGATGGCACGAGATTTAGACGCGTCGATAAAACTGTGATCCGTGTGGAAATTTTCTTTTAGGTGAAATGGCTTCCGCCAGAAACGGGCCTCGTAATTTGAACTAGCGAGGAATTTGGAAGTAGACGCGTCGTCTTACGGACTCGTTAGGCCTGGTGGTGATTGGAAACTTTGATGTGGACGACGTGGTCAATGCAATGGATTGCCACCATAGAGTTCTTCACTCCATCGAGAAAGATTACGAGGAAGAGGGCCGTGGTTCTGTTCTAAGCAAAAGTTTCAAGAGTTTCGTGAGGGATTATTGGATTTTCAACAGATTAAGTGCTCAGGTGTGAATAACTGATAAGATCTACAATGCTCCAGCTGTTGCAGGTCGTACTACCGTAGATTCGCACATGTATGTATACCTCTAGATTACGTGACAAGGTGGGACGAACCAACAGAGAAAAAACAGAAAACAAATGGAGCCAAGCGCAAGAACAACTTTTTGTTTCGACGTCGAACTGTTTTTGCCGTGTTCTGAGATCATCATCTGATGGAGAAGGTGACATTGTCTACTTGCGAAAAAAAAAACAGAGATAGATAGATAGATATAGTCTATAGACATTTGGGCTTGGGTCCTACTCCGGAGAGCCAGGCAAATGCTTATGCATGTAAGATCCTCTTCATCAACTTCATTCTCAACGAAATAAGAGAGGAAAACAAGATCTGGTTGTGCAAATCAATTTCAATCTTCTTTAGAAATGAGATTTCATCTTTTTTAAAGAACTACGAGTGAAATCTTCTTTTGCATTGCGATAGCCTGGTGAAATGGTCTTCCCCCAGAAGCGGGCCTCGTGTTTTGAAGTAGCGAGGAATTTGGTAGTAGACGCGTCGTCCTACGATGGCTTAACGTAGAATCCAGCTATAAAATCAGTTCGAAGACGAGCAAGCGCGATAGCAGCTCGGCTAATTTTCCCTAGGAGAGAGCAAGTTTCAAGGAAAAATCTCCCGGTTGGATCTATTTTTCTTTTTTTGAAAGCATGAAGAAGGTCACACTCTCTACTTGTTGGAGCTGCGAGGGAAAGATCAACGCCCTCAAAAAGATCAAAGGTATAATCTTTGGATTGGATCTGGAGACCATGAATCTGGTGTGGTTTTTTCGACAGGAGTTGATAAGGTGGAATCGGAGTCGTCAGGCCTGGTTGTGATCGGCAAATTTGATGTGGACGACGTGGTCAAGGCGGTGGATTGCCACCACAGCGTTCTTCGTTCCGTCGAGAACGATTACGAGCCCCCAAAGAAGAAGGACGAGAAGAAGGAGGGCGGTGGTTCTAGTGTTGTATACGTTTACACCCACACCTACAATTACTACAGCAAGTGAGCTAAAACACTACACAGTCCACTGTTAAGGAGCGCCAAATTGTGATTTTGGGCAATTGGGATGGATCAAGAGCGAAGAAACCGTTTCAAGAGTTTCGTGAAGGATTGATTGGATCTGGAGAAGCTCAAAATAATATTCCCGCGTTTGTGCAAATGCCGGTAGATTTCGGGAACTTTTGCGGGCCTCTCGAGAATAACTTTTTGTTCCGACGTCAAGCTGCTTTTTTGGCCGCCAAAAGTGGACTGCCATTTTTCGTATGGATGTGAACTTCTACACTGTCGGTCGACGCTGGGAGAAAACACGCCGAAGTAACTACAGGAAGAAGAAAGAGAAAGAGAAAGCGAGCGTATCGTGTCCCGACGCGTTTTGCTGTTGCGATGGTGTAAGATTTTCGTGCTTAAATAGGGTAGTCGAGTTCCTCAAGAGAGATCAAGCAAGTGTGTTTTTCCCGAGTGAAGAAAGAAAGCAAGGATTCTGATTTGAGATCGAAGCTCGTTTTTCCACAAGCAAGCAATTCATCATGAAGAAGGTGTCATTGTCTACTTGCGCGAGCTGCAAGGGGAAGACTGATGAATTCAAGAAGATCAAAGGTAAGAGCCTGGGAAAATTTCTCTTGTTTGCTCCCATCTAACATTTGGGTGTGAAAAAACAGGGGTGGAGAAAGTGGAATCCGATTCCTCTGGCCTGGTTGTGATCGGGAACTTCGATCTGGACGATGTTCGCAAGGTGAACAGCTGCCATCACGGGATCCTCCGCTCGATCGAGAACAATTACGAGCCCCCGAAGAAGAAAGAGGAGAAGAAGGAAGAGAAAAAGAAAGAGGAGAAGAAAGAGGAGAAGAAGAAAGGAGAGGAGAAGAAGAAGAAAGTTGTGCAAGTCTACACCGACAACTTCAATCTCTACTACAACTGAAGTGAAAGTTTGAGATGGATCGATGCGATAGCGTTTGAATTCTTGTAAAAATCTTCCTTTTTCTCTTAAAAAGAAATTGTCAGTTTTGTATAAATTTTCTTGGGTTTTCCTTTCCTTCTTTGTTCACGAGGCTCAAAGATTTTGAGAATTTGTGGCCAATTTCAGCGATTGTTCTCTAAGAATTTTCATAGCTGGATTGAGCGCTCCAAAACTTGAAGAATTTGAGAATTTTTGGCCAATTTCAGCGATTGTTCTCTAAGAATTTCCATTGCTGGATTGAGTGCTCCAAAACTTGATGAGATTTTCTTCCATTCAAACAAGAGCTGCCACCTAAGAACTGAGGTGACGAATTTCCATGTCTTTCACGTGGCGGCGGGCGATTGACCGCGACTAAAGACCTTGACTCTCATTGAATCTTCGCAAAGACTTTTCAAAGTCTCAAAGACTTTCAAAGATTTTCCACAGATTTTCCAAGGTTCCAAAGATTTTCCAAAGTTACAATGATTGTCTAAGTTCTTCCAGAGTTCTTCAAACACTTTCCTCGAGGCACATCAGGAAAATGATGTTTTGCTGTTGCTACATTTTACATTTCATGTTCTAAGAGGAACGAGCAAAAGTATGATCGCTCCCAAAAAATTCTCAGATTGTAACTTTTGAGCTTATTGGGATCCAACCATTTGAGAATCGAAGGATGGATGGATCGCCAGTCTTCTTTCTTCTTTGTCTGCGCGTTTTATACATGTTGAATCGTTCGCCTCACACTCGTAGTTACGACTAAAGAGAGTCTACCACTCATTCGTGATCATCACAGCAAGTTCAAAGCATCTCTTGGGAATTGAATCGATTCCACGCCACCTGAAAGTGTGAATTCAAGAAGCACAAAATCATCCCTGTGTTGAAACAAAGAGGGATTTGCGAAGAACCTGTAAGATGTGGAAGACTTTCTCGGCTATGTACTTTTGCTGGACGCTCGCGTGCTTTTGCTGCATTTTGTCCGGATGAACACACAGCGTTGCTCGTCGGTAGGCCTTCTTTACTGCGGCTGGATTGATGAGCTCGGTGAGAGTTACTTGCTTCCATCCAGATTCCGGCCACAAAACCTGTGAGATCGATGGAGCAGTGTAAAGGAAACTAGAAGAGAACACGAAGAAAAGTTTGGATCTTACGTATTGGAGTGTTGAAAGGAGAGCTCGAATGTTGCCATCTTTTCCTACAGACCACCGTTTGATATCGCTGTCGAGTCTCTCGGCCAATCTCTGGAAGCAAAGAAAGTTTTGAATTTTTCTTCTTTGGTCGGTGCCGACTTACTTGTCTTTCGGCTTGCTCGGATTGGAGCTCCAGATCGCGCTTGTTCTTTTGTGCCAAAGCCTGTGCCTGCAAACAAAATCCATTTTTTCTAAGCCCCGAGAAGGAAAAAGAAGAATTTTTCCACATACTGCGCGGTTTTGGGTTCTCCGGTAGCGTTCCAAGCGAGCTTTCCTTCGCTCTGGCGTCTCTCCTTTCAACTCTTGGAAATCCTCGCGAGAGAAACCTGGGACACGAAAGAGACTGGCTAAGAACAATGGAAGGAAGCAACACGACGTACTGCTGTTTGAGTTGACATTGCTGGTTCGATCGCTCTCCAAGTTTGTGCTCGAACTTGTCCTCCGAATGCCTCCATTCTCGGTTTGGCTTCCAGACGTAGGCATCGATGCCTGGAAAAGGAAGAAACAAGAACAAAGTTGGAAAAAGTGCAAATCGAGAACAACTTCGAGACCGAAACAAGCTGGATCTCGAAAACAAAAACCCGAGAATGTGAGAGGAAGAACAACTCAAAGTTGGCAAAAGTTGGAAGAACCACGACCTCGAACGAGAAATGGAGAAAAAGAAAGATCTCTTACCGAGTTTGCGAAGCGTTGCTTGGGAGCGCTCGTCGGCCTGGAAGAGCTGGAAGACACTGGAGCTCGAGCAGCATCGTAGGCCGCTCGCTCGGCTCTCGCCCGTGCCTCGGCGTTGGCTCGCTCCACCGCCGCTCTCTCCATTTTCAACCGCGCCGCCACCTCCGCCGCCGCCACCGCCGCCTCCACTTCGGCTCTCTCCCGCGCCGCCTTCTCCTCCAGTCCCACTCGGTCCTTCTCTCGCTCGATCTCCCTCTCTCTCTCCAGCTCCCTCTCCAGCCTCTCCCTCTCCCTTTCGCGCTCCTTCTCTAGCCTCTCCAGCCTCTCCCTCTCGCGCCTCCTCGCAGCGTCGATCCTCTCGAGCCTCTCTCGCTCGCGCTCCTCCCTCTCGCGTTCTATCTTCGCCACTGCCGCTCGCTCGCGAGCCTCGGCTCGCATTCTCTCCACCAGTGATCTATCCTCGCGGAGCGCTCTCCCGAATTGGCGGTGGTGCTCGCTATCCTTTGGATCGTCACGAGGAGTAGTAGCAGAAGAGCTCTCGGATCGCGCCAGCCGCTCCTTCTCGAGCTGTTCGCGCAAAGAAACGCGCGTTCCTCCTCCTCCGCCACCTTTTGCTGTGGACGAAGAACTTGGCGACGAGGACGACGATGCCGGGTTTGCTCGATCCTCGAGCTCCTTGGCTACCACTTCGCTGCTCGATTGCTCTCTCAATCGAGGTTTGGTCCGCCGCTGCTGCTGCTGCTCGCTCGATGATTTCTTTCGATCCATAGCCGCTGCTCTCTCGGCCTTGGCCTTTGCTTCCAGCGCCGCTCTCTCGCGAACCTCGGCTGTGATCCTCGCCACCAAGCTCCTCTCGCGTGACCTTCGAGCTTCTTCCATAAGCTCTCGCTTTCGTTGCTCCTCGATCGTCCTCCTCTCCTCCGCTTCCAAGCTTTTGTTGCTCTTCTCGTGATCTCGCATTGTCGATTCAAGTCTCTCTGGAGTCTCTGGAGCCGCCTCTTCCTGATGATCCTTGGCCGCTGCTCCGGATCCAGGAGCGTTGCTGGATGATCCGGGGGTACTCGCGCTCCGCTGGTTCGTCGTGAAGCTATCGATGCTCAGGATGGATTCGCTGTCGGTGGTCTGGTCCTTCTCGTGACTTGTTGCCACTGCTTCCGCTAGCTTGTGGATTTGCGGCGCTCCTCCAGCTTCTCCGGAGCTCGACAAACGTTCTTGATCATCATCCTTGTTCTCGAAAGTTGGCGGCGCTAAATCATTATCGGTCGAGCCTTGCTCCTGCTCCAAACCACTGCTCGATCGAGCTCCTGCTTCCTCGCGCTCCATAACGTCATTGCTTGATGGAGCTCCTGCTTCCTCGCGCTCCGGAACGTCATTGCTCGATCGAGCTTCTTCTTCCCGGAACATTGGACTGGAGGTAGAAGCATCGATGGCTTCGCTAGAGCTCTTCTCGGCTTCTTCTACTTCCGATTTGATCACCTTGCCATCACCTTCCACAGCTGCTCTAGCCTCTTCTTGCGATCCAGTCATGCTTTCTTCGATTGGAGCTGCCACCTTTTCCTCCTCGTTCAGCCTGATAGTTTGCTCGCCATCTTTGCCATCCTCGCGAGAAGATTGGAACACGGCAGCCCTCGCATCTCTCTCGATGTGCTCCAGCGCCGCTCTGTCAGCTCTCACTTTGGCTTGCTCCGCCGCCGCCACCTCCACTTCCGCTGCAATCCTGTCGATGGCTGCTCGCTCCGCTCGAAGTTTGCTCAGCGTCTCGGCTCTTGTCTTGGAGCTCGGATGAGTATCCGGCTTGACGTAGCTCGGTGGTGGAGACGAAGGAGAAGTTAGCTTCTCCTCCTCGGCCAAGTTGTGCTTTTGCCAGTCCAAAACTTTCTCCCTGATGCTCAGCTCCGCGTGAGCGCTTCTCTCCTTGAGAACTCGCTCGAGCAGCTCGGACGATGAGTTTTGTTGCAAAGGTGGAGGAGTTCGCACCGGCGGCGGCCCCGAGTCCGAGTGAGTCCTTTCCAGGCAAGCTTCTTCGAAAGAACTTTGATTGGAAGCTCGCGATCGAGCTGGTGCCGCTCGCACTGGAGGAGGAATATCGGATGGCCTGGTCGTCAGGCTCACTTCACCAACACTCACCCAAGCTCTCTCGAATTGATCGTTCGAGAGATCTTGATGCTGCTCGCCGTTTTGTGACATTCCAAGGAACGATCCTTGTGGCTTCTGTGGATCAAACAAAAGATGGAAGTTTACAAGCTTAAGGAAGTGAGAGAAAAAAAGAGATTGTGATCAGCCAACCTTGAGAGCCGCCACGTCCAAAGCTTGTGGAGGTGCTGGAGCGTCTTTGGAGCTTCCAACAGTAGCAGCACTGCACAAGAAAAGTTTGTGAGCACTTGAAAGATAGGAGAAAACAATATAAATCTATGGCTATGGCAAGAAGCTTAGTTTGAGTTACATACTCTTTGCGTGGAGGAGTCCCAAGACCGGAGGAAGCAGTGGTGATCTTGGCCCCGGCAACATCACCCCCGAACGAAAACGGCCCCGATAAATCATCCGGCGCCTCACCAAAGATATCCTCATACGTAACTCTCGAGCTGCTCTTCTTGAGAGTTGGAATCCCCCGGAAGATCTCATTGTCTCGGAGCTCCGACACCTTCATCCTCGACGAAGGCACCCGGAAGACGTCCTCAAACACCGGGATGGTGGAGTGGACATTGCAAGAGAAAACTTCGTCGTAGACGCTGTAAGACGATCCAAAACTGCCATAGCCCGAGGAGTGATTGTGGTGGTGGTTTTGATCGCTCCTGCCGCGAAAGCTTCCGCCAAAATCGCTCTTTCCAAGCTTGGCTCTACCAAAACTCTCCGAGAACCTAGCGGAGCTATCAAACTTTGGGCCACTGCCGCTGTTCTTGCTGCCTCTACTGCCAATTCGACCCTTTCCTGCCCGACCAAGTCCATAGTCCCGCTCCAAAATGCTACCAAAATCATCCATTTCTTCCCCCTGGAGCTGGAAATCCAAGTTCTAAGTCGAGTTACTCACGAGTGAGAGATGGAGATGATCTTCCGGTTAGACCTTCTCCCCCTTCTTCACATCGGCTTCCATATACTCTTGTGTTCTTCTTCCTCCTCCTGTAGCAAAGCCCAGAGAGAAGAGTGAAAACGTGCATTGACTCTAATAGCTAGAGGCAAAAGGAAGAACTGTTTTTTCTCCTGTTCTAGAAGAAGAATATCCATTTACTCACCTTGCATAGCTCCTGCCTTTCATGGCCCCGAAGAAAAATTCCACCTCTGGAGAAAAAAAACATGGGAAAGATTTCACTGTTAGTGCCGAGAATGAAGCGAAAGAACCCACAGCTTAAGCGCAACGCAAGCGCAGTCCATGGAGGAAAAGAGAGGAAAAGGAGAAAAGAATTCACAGATCGTGAGGGCGTGGAGGAGAAAGTGGAGAGTCGAAGAACCTGGAAGGAGGAGAGGAAGAACTTTTGCTCCTTTGGCTCGATCAGTCCGTGAACGAGAACCCACCATTCGCTGCTCGTCGGGTAGCAGCTTGTGTGCATTGTGTGCGCAAGGAAAAAAACAAAAGCTCGGGGCAAAACGAGGAAATGCTGGAAGCGCAAGCTGTTCTTGGGAGAAAAGAGAAGAAGGGATCCTTTTTCCGAGAGAGAGAGAGAGAGAGATGAGAGATGGAGCAGAGAAAAGAGCTCGCGAGCGCTTTGAAAGCGTCCAACAGCTCAAAAAGAGTGGTGTTTCGCAACTGGGCGTTGTGAAGACAGTGGAAAACGACACAATATAAGTAGGCTGGCTATGGAGGAAAAGAGAGGAGATAACAAAGTCTCATGAGAGAACAACGCAGTCTTTAAGCAAAGAGCTGCTTCTTCGCACTGACACAAACCAAAACCCAAAAGAGAGAAAGCGAGCAGCAGAAAAAAAAAATTCCACTTTTCCTTTAGCCCGAGAGATCAGCAGCAGAGCTTTGAGCTTGAATGAATGAAAGGGAAGCTTTTGTTTGTGTGTTCTTCAAGAGCAAAGGCAGAGCTCTTGGAGAAGAATGCTGGTGGCGTTCCAGGCTTTGGCTGGAGAAAGCCGCAATCTTTAATCATGGGTTTGGTGCTGGAGCTCCATCTCGCAAGCAATGCGGGTAGCTAACAATTTCTCCCTATTCCCTCATCGATCCACAGTAGAACCTAGTGAACTTTCCTTTGGGATCTTTCTTTTTCTGGCCAAATTGCGATCAGTTCCTCGCAGATTCCAGGATTTTTTCTTCATGGGTGGGGGACAAACACGGATTGGAGCAGGATTAGCTGCTACCCATTTGGGAAATCGAGCAAACTTCTCCCCCAATTATTTTTTTCCTCACAGTCACAAGTTCAACTGTTCATTGCCAGCGAAATCATGAGATTTGTGGGCGGGGGCCAACCCGCGCGGACCAAATGTGGGAAGTTTCTTCGCCGCGGGATGGGCTACGCATTCCCACCTGATGAGACAAAAGGAAGAACTTCCGGCCAAATACAGAGCACTATATACAGTGGTGGTTTGGATCGATCATTCCAACTCGAGAACTTGATCCGCAAAAAACTAGCTGGAGCCCATTATAGCTGAGAGAAAACCCATCAAAACCCACCAAGCGATCGATCAAAGTCGCACATTTTTGCCACAAGATCAAGGAAAATCACGAAATGTCGTGTCACGTTATGAACAAGGAAAAAGTAACATTAAGAAAATCCATCGCCCAACAGCCGGGGAGTCGCAAAAACGTGAAGTTTGGATCGATTCGACTGGGGATGAGTAAGTACTTACCACTTTTCTCTTCGACGCTACGCCCCCAACCAACATGAGTTGTTCTTCCGTCCATCAAATCGATTGTTCGTCAATCCATTGGTCCTTTTGTAGCGTTCCCTTATGAGTCCACCTACTGGAACTTCCTGCAAACGTTTCCAGGGACAATTTCCAAAACTTTGCAGGCTTCGGGAACATACCAGCACGATTCTTGGCTAACTTCACTTTTTGTTCTTCACACTCTCTAGGCTAATGTGTCCAAAGAAACTTTAGAACATTTGCGGACAGGGACGGGCAGCCAACGAAAGAAAGCTTTCTTTCTCTCGCTAAGCTACTGTAGATCCTTGCTGCAACGAGCAGCGTGGAGCAGACCTCTAGGGACGTGGACATGTTGCAAACAGGAGAAGAAATTGTTTTCTAGTCACCGATCGATCAATCGCATGAGCTAAAACAAAGCTCTGTGTGTTTCGTGGGTGTTCTATCAAAGAATCCGAGAATTTGTGTGAGGAGTCCTTACGTAGGTAGCTGTCCGTTGCCTGCTGGCTGGCCTGGCGCTCATCGTTCTCAAAGAAAACTCTTAAACAAATCTCATCTCCATGGGTTTTGACAAACAATGTCAAACAATCCCTGCGAATTTCTTCCGAGGTCCACACCGTACCTGTGGAGAAAAGATTTTGTCTGGGTTGTGTATGCTTGTTTTTTGATGGTTTCATGGTGTTCTTCGTGGCGCTAAGCATTGCTTTTGGTATGATTGTTTGATTTCGCTTGGCCGCTTTTGATTGCTTGCTTCCATCGCCAGCACCATGAGGAGAAAAGAAATATGTCTAGATTAGCTCACCCATCATTGCGGAATCGATGGATTCCTCCCCATCAATTCGCGATTGTCAAAAGCTTTTCTACGAGCGAGGACGATGCATTTGCCGCGCCCCCAAGTTTAAAATTTTAAACATTAGGGCTCTTATCTGGGTTAGGGCGCGTGCCCTAAAAACAGAGGGACACTGGATTTGCGTTGCAATGTGAGCGATGGCGGTGGATTCCAGCGCCAGGGCCAGGGCGCGGGCAATCGAAACGAGGTCAGTCACTGGAAATCGAGCCGCCGCGGCAATGCGGCGGCGCTGCTGGCGGCATTGAAGGCCGCGAGCAGAGCCAGAGACATCGAGCGCGGCCGCCAGGCGCATCTGGAAGCCATCCATGGCGGGCTGGATTCCAGCGTTTTCGTGGCGAGCTCGCTCATCGATATGTATGCCAAATGCGGGAGGATGGAGGAGGCCAGGGCTGTGTTTGATGGGATTCTCCACCGCGACGTGGTTTCTTGGAGCTCCATCATTCTTGGCTACGCACAGAACGGGCAAGGGGAGGTTGCGCTCGAGCTCTTTGTTGAAATGCAGCGTGCCAAGGCGGAGGATCCTTCTTCTCCGCAGGCTCCGAATTCCCAGACTTTCGTGGCTGCGATCAGAGCTTGTAGCAGCATGATCGACGAGAAGAAGGAAGGAAAAGTTCGCGAGGATCGAATGGCTTGTCTGGAGAAAGGCATGGCCATCCATGCTCGAGCTCGGCTGGGCGGATTGGACACGGATGGTTTTGTAGCATGTAGCTTGGTGGACTTTTACGCGAAGTGTGGAAGCATGGTGACTGCTTGCTGGGTTTTCGATCGAGTGGACGATCGCAGCTACAGTGACTTGGTGCTGTGGACTGCTCTTATCTCAGGCTATGCACACAATGGTGACGGCGATATCGCTCTAGAGATTTTCGAGCAAGCGAGTGCCTTCTTCGATGCGAGCTCTTCTTCTTCGAGCTCGTCCCAGAGTTACTCGACCCGGACGATTTTCTTAGCGGCCGTGAAGGCTTGCACAAGCATAGCAGCAAAAGAAGAAGTCACAGACAAGCACAGGCTCGACCGCAGCGATGCTAACAAGTTCCTCAAGGCTGTGTCGCTAGAGAAAGGAATGGCAGTGCACTCGGCAGCGGCAAGGCTCGGGTATATCACGGCAGCAGACATTTTCCTGATGAGCTGCTTGGTGGATTTCTACGCAAAGTGTGGAAGCATGGTGGATTCGCAACGAGTTTTTGACAGCATGAGCCGTCACGACGTTGTCTCGTGGACTGCTCTTGTCTGGGGGTATGCACACAACGGGCAGGAGGAGATCGCTTTGGAAGTTTACGCTCGGCTCCAACAACAGGGCTGTGCTTCAAACTCCCAGACGTTCGTGGCTGCTCTCAAGGCCGTCGTCTGTCTCGCGGAGGCTGAAGTTGGCAAAGAGATCGACGGGAAAGTCGTCAAGGTGACGGCTTTGGAGAAAGGAATGGCGATTCACTCCCAGGCAGCGAGCAGCGGCAAGCAGCATCACACGGAGACTTTCGTAGCGAACAGCCTGATCGACATGTACTCCAAGTGTGGAAGCATGGTGGACGCTCTGAGAAGTTTGGAGGCGATGGCTTCTCCTCCGGATATAATCTCGTGGACAGCTCTGATCCTCGGCTATGCCGACGCTGGAGAAGGCAACCGAGCTCTCGAGATCTTTTCTCGAATGCAAAGTCAAGGTTGCCGTCCAAACGCTCATACATTCGTGGCAGCCCTCAAGGCCTGTGGCAGCATCTCGGCTGTAGGAACTGGAAGAGTGATCCACGGGGAAATCTGCAAGTTCGGCCTGGAAACAACACTCACTGCTGGGAACAGTCTGGTCGACTTCTACGGGAAGTCCGGAAGCATGGTCCGAGCTCGCCAAGTTTTCGACTGCATTCCAGCGCTCGACGTTGCGAGTTGGACGTCGCTCATGGCCGGATACTGTCACCAAGGCGAAGCAATGGCAGTTCTCGACCTCTTCGTTGGGATGGTCGACCAAGGCGTGAATCCAAACGAGATAACTCTCGTGACAGTTCTCACGGCTTGCAGCCACGCCGGGCTCGTCCACAGAGGCAAGCGCTACTTCTCAGACATGAAAGAGAGATTTGGTCTCACTCCCAGGATTGATCACTACCACTGCCTCATCGATCTTCTGGGACGAGCAAACTTGCTGGAAGAAGCACTCCAGGTCGCGAAGGCGATGCCAATGGAGGCTACTTCGGTGACATGGACGATCGTGTTGGTCGCGTGTGAGAAGTGGAAGAACATAGAAGTTGCGAAGATTGCATTTGAGGCCCTGGTGGTTTTGGACGAGAACCAGGCGGGATCTTACGTCCTCATGGCCAATGTCTATCGCCAACTTCGACCATTTGTAGTTTCATCTGGAGGAAACAAAACGATCAAGCTGTGAAAGCCTGTAGATCTCTGAAGAAGTGCTCCTGTAGTCAGCTCATAAGACCAACGCTCTGACCAGCTGAGCTAAGGGAGCTTGACATTAATCAATCTTATCTCATACAAAGAGTTCCCAGAGTACATACGTCCCGGCATTGGAATAGTTTGTGAAATGGATACCTCATGCAATGCAGATGAATGTTCTAAGGTGCATCAGAAACGTTTACTGGGAAGTGGAAATCAGGACTATTGACAGTTTTCAGAAATAATGCCATGGACGAAGAGTGGAAATAGTTTGACAGAGAGGGATTCCTCGATTTTTGCTAGAGGGTCATGGAAGAAATAAGGCTAGGAGAAGGAAGCAATGATAATTTCTATGTTCTGCTCCAACAATAAAAAGGATTTGATAAAAGGTTTTGTTAGTGGAGGATGAATGTTTTGTTACAAGAGACTCTGGGAAACGATCCATTTCTTTCCGATTATTTTGGGAAGCATGGTTTCAAAAGCGCTCCATGAAACTTTATTCATATAATAACTTAAAATAGTTTTGCATTAGAAAATAATTCAATCAAACCAATCAAAGTCCAGAAGCATGCTCCAAATGCGAGTGGTCGACGAAGGCCTGAATCCAGACGAGATAACTCTGGCACGGCTTGCAGCCACACCGGGTCCACAGAGGCAAGCGTTACTTCTCGGACATGGAAGAGAGATTTGGTCTCACTCCCAGGAGTGATCACTACCACTGCCTCATCGACGAGCAGAAGAAGCACTCAAGGTTGCGAAGACGATGCCAATGGAGGCTGCTGCAGTGACATGGACGAAGAAGTGAAAGAACATAGATTGTGTTTGAGGCACTGGAGGATTTGGACGAGAACCTCTTACGGCCAAATTCGACCCTTTGTAGTTTCACCCGGAGAAGTGTTCTTAAGTGACAAGTGGAGGATGAATGCTTTTTAGGACGTGCTCATTCTGTGGGGGGGAGAATGATCAAATCTTTACTGTGGAACTTGCTCACCGTTTGCAGAGGTAAGAGAAGCTTTTAGATTGTGCTGGTTTTGATATGTGGATTTGGCAACAGGCATCTGAGTGATTCCAAACTGGAGATCATCCCTGGAGCAGCTCATGCTCCGTACAAGAATTTCAGAACTAAACCATTCAAAGCTTTAGAATGGTCAACTTGAGGGAATTTAAGGAGAAACTTTATGAATCAAAACGACTTGCCCTGGAACGAGATGCGGTCAGCATAGGTCAGTTCAGGTTGACCAACTTCTTGAAATCCGGCTACATAGACCCCGTGTCTGGACACATCATCTGCTCGTAGTGAAAATGCACCTAAATGCCGAGCAATGTCTGGAGAGTCCAGAGATCAGGTTTGCATGTTAAACTGCACAGTGAGCGCCTCAAATGTGCAGTCCCTGTGATCAGATAGCTTTCCGAAACCCTGTGATTGTACACAAACAAAGTTTTAGAAATAAAAAACGAAAGCAATCGAACTTACTCGTAGAGAAATAGAAGGTGTCCCTGATGGGAATATTTTCCTTATAAGCTAGAAAAGAAATTAATGTAGAAAATATCACCAAGCACAAAAAAGCAAAGTACAAAGTGAGCAACATATGCTACTGAAAGGTAAACAGGGGTAAAAAGTTACACCACACTTCCGGTGAAGAGTAATAAAATATCTCAATCATGATTGTTTGTCATATATATAACAAACAATGTTTTATGATCAATGTACAATATATTTCCTCCATTTGATGCTTTTTAATTGAGTACAAGTGTAAACTAACTATGAAACCTGGGTTGCACTAGAACTTGTTCTAGTGATGAATGTTTTGTTACAAGAGAAAAGATCCATTTCTTTCCGGTTAGTTTAGAAAACAAGCTGTGAAAGCTTATATCCCCAAGGAGGTGCTCCTAGCGAGGTTCGAACTCGCGACCTTCGGCTCATAAGACCAACGCTCTGACCAGCTGAGCTAAGGGAGCTTTGACATTAATCAAGCTTATCTTATGGTAGTCGTACAAAAGAGTTCCCAGAGTACGGAACAGCGCCAAGGAGGATAGCGGCATCCTTGGAGGAAACACTGTATGGCATTGATGAGAGGAGCTCGCGGGCTTCGATCGCATAGCCCGATCGTGCGAGAGAGTCGATCACGCAGCAGTAGTGCTGTTTCGATGGCTGGATCTGGTAATCCATCGCCGCGGAGACGAAGAACTGGCGGGCAGCGGCCGGAGATCCCGTGTGGCTGCACGACGCGAGCACGGAGACGAAGCACACTGCGTCGGGAAGGTCTGTGAGGAGCATCTGGTGGAAGAGATCGCGAGCGCGGGCGTAGTGATTTGGGCCATCGTGATCACTGGGATGGGACGTGTGGGCGGAGAGCATTGTGCTCCAGGAGAATCCATCGCGCTCCGGCATTCGATCGAAGAATTGCTCCATTGCCACCAGGAGATCGCCCGATCGAGCGTGGGCTGTGAGGATCGCGTTCCACGACACGAGGCTCTTGATGGGCATGGAATCGAACAAAGCCCGCGATTGATCGAGGCAGCCGATGGATGCGAGTAGCGAAAGGATGGAATTCCACGAGATAAGGTCGTGCTCGGGCATGCAATCGAAGATGTCCCCGGCATGATCAGCGTCTAGAGCTTTCGCGTGCGCTGCAAGGATCGAGTTCCAGGAAACAATGCTGTGCTGGGGGATCTGATCGAAGAGCGATCGGGCTTCCTCGATCCGGCCTTCCAGGCCAAATGCGGTGATTAGAGCAGTCCACGAGAAGAGATTGCGCTCCGGCATTCGCAAGAAGAGATTCTTGGCTTCGTCTAGCCTCCCGATTTGGGAAAATCCAGTGAGAATCGTGGTCCAGGAGACGAGATCTCGGCTCTCCATTGAATCAAAGAGAGACTTGGCAATGTCAAGATGTCCTTCTTGGGCATTTGCTGCGAGAATTATGTTCCAACTGCGCAAGTTCCACTCCGGCATGGATCCAAACACAAGATCTACCATTGCTACATTCTTAGTTTGTAGTGCTACTACTAGATGTGTGTTCCAAGAAACAATGCTTAGCATTGGCATCAAATCAAAAGCGTTTGATACAGCCACAACATGCCCTGCCTCGGCAAATGCTGCTAAGAGAGAATTCCATGAGATTAGATTGGGCTCTGGCATTCTATAGAACATCCGTTTTGCTTCTTCTAGAAATCCAGCCTTTCCAAGTCCATAGATCATCGAGGTCCAGGAAATCGTGTTCCAATGAGGCATAGAATTAAAAACCCCTTGCGCCTCGCGGAGATACCCACAGCGCATGTAAGCCGTGATCATGGCGTTGCAAGCGACGATGCTCATCGCTGGTTCTGGAATAGAATCAAAGACTAGCTTGGCAAGATCGAGATTGCCATTTTCGGAGCAAGCACACAGGAAAATCACCCAGGAGAATCTGTTCTTGCTGGAGATAGAATCGAAAACACGCTTGGCTTGATCCAGGCTGCCACAGCGCCCATACATCTCGATCAGCCGATTGGAGTGGAGGATACCGTCGCTGGATCGATCCAATTGCGAGAACTCAAGGAGCTGCGAGTGGATTGGATGCGCTTGAGCGAGAAAATGACAATTCATTCGCAATTGGGAAGATTTACCAAGGCTAGTGTTTGCTAAAGATTTACCAAACAATGGGGGCCAGTGGGAACGCGAGGCCGTTTGCTAAGCTAGGCAGAGTATATAAATTCCTCTGTCTGCCCTAGAACAGAGGTGAGGGATGATGGAAGAGAAGAATGCCGTCGCTTTGCTCGTCTCCCTTCCAGGGTTTCCAGGGTTTCCAGGCGGGAGCGGCTGATCCATCGAGGCGCGCTCTCGCAATGGCGTCAGCGGGGTCTCCATCGGCTGCTGCTACCAAGATGAAGAAGCCGGCGAAACCAGCTCCCAAGGTGACTCTGGAGAGCTTTGTGAGCAAGATGCTGCCTCTTCTCGAGCTGGAGAAGGTGACTGTGTGGATTCCTCAGCGATATTTCGAGTGATTTTGTGGATGGATTCGTGTGTAGGAGGCGGAGATTGCTGCGTCTACCGAAACAATTGGAATGACGAACCCTGACGTTCTACAGCAGCGTGGCTCGGCTTTGAAAGGATTAAAGTGTGTTGGTGTCGAGGTGAGTGGCTTGTACACTTTGCAGCTGCTTCATATTTCTTTCTCGATTCGTCAGGCAGGATTGCTGGGAAAGTCTTTGCTTCTCTTGCAACCGAATTCTGGAGAGCTTCTTCCGTCTCACAAGGTACATTTGTTTACGTTCTTGTGGTGTTTAAGTGCATAATTTCTTCATTGCTCTTCAGCTGTCTACACACGATGTTGTGCTTTTAAAGCCAAACAAGGGAGGCTCGGCAGCTGAATCCCTGGGTCAAGGTGTTGTCTACCGCATAAAGGTGTGGCTGGATTGTGATTTGTGGCTTCCTGATGTTTTCGCTTGTCTTTTGGTGGTAGGATAAGTCTATCACGGTTGCTATGGATGATGTTCCAGACGAAGGCGTTAATTCGCTTCTTAGGCTGGAGAAAGTCGCGAATGAGGTTGGTACTCTAGTCACGAAGCTGATGATACAATGGCCTTGGTTCAGGTCACCTATCAAAGACTTAAAAGTACATTGTTGGACCTTGGCAAGGGTGTTTCAAGAGGTCCAGCAACTGATCTGGTTCCTGTGCTTTTCGGCGAGAAGCCTCCCTCGTTTTCCAAGACACATGCCACGTATGAACCTTACAACACAGAGCTTGACGAGTCTCAGGTGAGCGTTGTTGTCCATTAGTTTTCTTGAGAAATGATCTGCATCGTATCAGGTTAAAGCTGTCAAAATGGCTCTAAGCGCACAAGATGTGATGCTACTTCATGGTCCGCCTGGAACTGGGAAGACGACGGCAGTGGTCGAAATTATTTTGCAGGAGGTTAAGCGGGGGCTCAAAGTTCTTGCTTGCGCTTCTTCGAACATTGCCGTGGACAACATGGTGGAAAGACTCGCCTGCCACAAGTCTGTATAATTTGCATGCGTCATTGTTTTTTGAATTTTATACGCAGGGTGAAGGTTGTGCGCTTGGGACATCCAGCTCGTCTTTTGCCGCAAGTTCTTGACTGTGCACTGGATGCTCAGGCAAGCATTTTCAGTTTTCGTCAAGCTTTCTCAAAAGGGGATTCTTGCAGGTACTCAAAACCGACAACAGCTCGTTAGCCAAGGACATCAGAAAGGAGATTAGTGTAAGTCTTTCATTCCTATTGTTTTTCATGAACTGCATGGCATTCTCTTTCGTTGTCCAGGTTCTCAATGCGAAGATTCTAAAGGCCAAAGATCGAAAGAGCAGAGACGAGCTAAGGAGAGAGCTGCGCCAATTGTCGAAGGAAGAGCGCCAAAGACAACAAAAGGCTGTCACGGATGTCATTCAAGGTGCCTCTGTTGTGCTCACGACCTTGACTGGAGCCATGTCTGCACAACTGCAAAAGGTTGACTTCGATGTCGTTGTTCTTGATGAGGCTGCTCAGGCCCTTGAGACGGCTTGCTGGATCGCCATTTTAAAGGTAATACCATTCTTTCATTCTTGTTTTGGGATAGAACGAGTGTGTTTTTATGTACTTGTGCAGGGACGAAGATGTCTTCTCGCTGGCGACCATCTCCAGCTCGCTCCAACAGTACTGAGCAAAGAAGCCGAGAAGCAAGGCTTTGGAACAACATTATTTGAACGCCTGGCAGGACTGTATGCCAGTCAAGCCATGACAATGCTCACAGTGCAGTACCGTATGCACGAGCACATTATGGATTGGTCTTCCCACGAGCTCTATGGCGGCAAGGTCGGTACGGATTGGACTTTTTGGGACTGACAGCGAGACATGCTTTTTACCAGATTCAAGCACACGAGCTTGTGGCAAGCCGCAAATTATTCGAACTAGATGGCGTCAAGAAAACTCCTGCAACTGAGCACACGCTCGTCCTCATCGACATCTGTGGCTGCGACATGGAAGAGTCAAAGGACGAGACTGAGAGCTCTTTCAACGAAGGCGAAGCCCGCATTGCTATTACTCACGCCCAAAAACTCGTAGAAAGCGGAGTTAAGGCTATTGACATCGGAATAGTCACACCGTATGCGGCCCAGGTATCTATATATTGTTTCAGAGTTTATGTTGTCTCTAAGTTTCATGCAATGCAGGTGAATGTTCTGAGGCGCATGAGAAATGAGGAACAGCGTTTACTGGAAGTGGAAATCAGCACTATTGACGGTTTTCAAGGCCGGGAGAAGGAAGCAATGATAATTTCCATGGTTCGCTCCAACGATAAAAAGGAGGTGTGGTTTTCTTGTTGAGGTAGCAGTGACACTAAAAGCTTTTGCTTTAGGTTGGGTTCTTGAGTGACAAGCGGAGGATGAACGTTGCAGTTACAAGAGCAAAAAGGCAATGCTGTGTCATATGTGATTCGGACACTGTGGGAAAAGATCCATTTCTCAAGCGGCTTTTGGATTATTTTGAGAAGCATGGAGAATATTGTTATGGTCTTTATTATCAATGACTTAATTGCGGTTTCTCTGCTAACGTTTGAGACACATTGCCACGATCAATCTCATTGTTTCACTTGCGCTTACGGATCTATTTCAAGCTCTTGATCCTTGACCAGACGTGTGTCTCTACCTTTCTTTTATCAAATGATATTTGGATTAAAAGCTTTGGTTGTGAAACATCTTTCCACCTCTGGTTTTTTTAGTGCAGCAGTAGTTCCACAGGTGATCATTCTGACCTTGACATGCTCCAACGAGTGAGCATTCGTGCAGCCTTCTCCCCTCTATCACAAACCCGCTGCTGCAATCCTCTAATCGGGAGCCTCTGACAAAGTACCATCTCTATTGCAGAAGTGCTCTTCGGACCGGACGTCAACGATAAGCTCTCGACCTGGAACCGGCATACCAGGTGCCAGATTTTATACCAGGGTCTCAACAAGGAGAGTCATGGGTGATGCAGCGCACTTTGGACAAGCTTGTTGCTGTCCCGCTGGGAAAGCCCCACCGGTGAGCAAATTGAGCAACAGAAAGATTACATTGACAAGACAAACAGTTCTTGGCCAGTGTTGTGCAGCTGATGTCCAAGTAGATGGAACCGACTCACTCGATACAGCCATGCAGTTCTCAAACAAGCTGAAAAATTAGCTGCTGATGGATCTGGAAGAGGAATTCAAAGGAGGGGCACGATAATTCGTGGCTATATGTTTCTTACTTAAAGATCCTTATCGACCAGTATTTTGATTCCTCAGAGGAGTTTGCTTCCCTGGGAGAGCTGCAGAAGCACACATGCTATAAACCATAATGAGGATAGAAAAACTACGTAGATATCAAACTTGAACACCAATTTTAAGGTTTAATTCTTGCTGAAACTCTAGTCCCTAATAGTAAGTTTTCTCTGAAGCATGATTAGGAAATGATAAAAAAAGTACTTGAAATCACTCTAAAACTACTTCATTGATAATCACTTCAGATTTTTTGTATCCCGTTATCATTATTTTACAATAATTTAAACATCAGTTTGTATTGGTGATAAGTAAAAATAATAACATTAAACTTTGATTATAAATTGAATTAGTGAAAATTTAAAAGTAGAAAATCATGACTATTGGATTGAGGAAACTATAGCTATATTATTTACACCTCTCCTACTACAAGTTTTCTAAAGAATAAAAAGTACTTAGAGGTTTTTGGTGTAGTATTGGATATACCTCAAAAATATTCTTAGATATTCTGGTATATTTTACTATTTAACAAATTAGCCTTTAATTTATAAGCCTTTTCAAGTTAGTAAATACCCTTTACCTTTACCCTTTGAGCAAACACCTCCATACATATTCTAGCAGTTAATGTACAATCTTGTGTATATAAATTATAAGCATGTTTGTACTTTATAAACATTATTAAACATGGATTCAATTTGGTCTAGTGGTCTCTTTGCTTTAAGTTTAGTTCCTTGTCAATAGCTATAAATGGGTGGTTCTATTCAATGGCATTGATGTGAAAGTTATGATTCTAGCTTTGTCCTATTTTCTAGTGTAAAACCAGAAAAAAAAAGCCATGGATCAAACTCCAGATCCAAGATTGATTGATATTGATTGCCAAATGATACTTCTACACTTTAATAAAAAGTATAGTAGTAGCCAATCAATGGAAAGAAAAACTAGTACATATCTAGCATTCTCTACATACCATTCAGCTTTAGAAAGTGGCAAGTTTAGAGTTTCAGGCAAAGAGCAAAGTGCTTATTAGGAAGTTTGTTTTTCCTTTATTTGATCTAGTATTTATGTATCTTGAGTCTATAAAAAAATATTTTAAATGATTTCAGTTCTAAAGTATATTGTTATAATAGGTGCACTGCCTCAAATTGTGAATCAAAATTTGAAGTTAGAATAAAAGGATTATATATTATAGTAAAAATAAGTAAATTATTAAAAAAGTTAATATGTAATTTAATATTTGCTTATGGAGTCTTTTGCTTCATGTAGAGCCAAAAATGTCAAAACAAATGAAGTTGGATATATTGTGGCTAACACTTTATCAAAGTTTTTCAAGACTTATGCATATATTCGCCCCAACCATTTTTGACGCTTTTCGATTGGTACAATGTTAGGAAATATCACTTCTTCCACATATAATTGCATGTGCTTCAGTTCCATATCATAAAATTTTTAATCAATTAGAAAAAGGTGTGCACTGTTGTTTATGGGTGTTTTCCTCTATACTTGAATTTGTACAAATCATCTCTTTAGTTATTTTCTTTAATTATTTACAGATATAAAAAGTATAAATATGATGCTATATACTAATATTATCATAATGAGATTTGATTTTAAATTCAAACAATTTCCTATTTTCTCTCTATATAAACTATGTTTATTTAGTATGGCTTAACTTGAAAATATCATAATTTATATTATAATACTAATAATACTAATTTTCTTACCATTCAATATAAAAAATAAATCTAAAGTCTATTGTGATTTAGAAGAGCTTATTTTTCCTATTTCTGTAATGTAATATTTCAATATAAACCAAATTAAAATTAATTTATACTATATTTTATTAATTAAATTTTTAAAATAATAATTTTAAAAATGCCAAAAAAATTTATATATTAGATATATGGTAACTGTATTAAAGATTTAAATTTTAAATTATCTTTTATTTTATTATAAATTAGAAGTTATAACATTTAGCTATTTTTATTAATATTTATTTTAATTTTAAATTTTTTGTGTAAGTTAATAGTGTAGTCAAATATAAATCTAAATTAAAAGTCATATTAGTTTTGTAGTATTTTATATATAAAAGGTTTTAAAACTCTTTTTATCACACTCTTATTAATTATAGATATGAAGTATTTTTATATTTTATTCTTTTTTACATTTTGTATTAACATACAGATAATTTTTGCTCCAAAGAAGTTTCCTCCAGCATTTGGAAGATTAAATATTTTAAATCAGCATGATATTAAAACAATTATTGGAGCTATTTATGGTTTAATATTTACAATTGATCGTGCAAAAAATGATTATATTGTTCAAACATTTAGTGAACAAACTGAAGTGATTACATCACAAGGAATTGTTGATTTGATAATTAAAGTTAAGCCAAATTGTGATGGTGATGGTACTGAAACTATTAAAGGTGAGAATTTAATAGAAGGTTTTAATAGAATTGTGAGTAGTACTGTTACTAGTATTTCTGAAAATCTTTCAGACTTTTTTCAAAAAGAAACCAATAAATTTTCTATACAGTATAAACTTAGAGAAAGGTCTGAACTTTTATTAGAAAAAAGACATGAAAAATATCATACTTTATTTTTATATTGTCGTCTTGAAAGTAGCAATTTATATTCTGGTTTTAAAATCTATAGAGATCAATTTTTAAGATCACCAAATAATAAGAATAGTTTGTTATTGGATTCAAGATGTAACCTTATCTTATATTCAAAAAATTTTAAAATTTGGGAATCTGAAACATCAAGAAATACTTATAAAAATTGCTTTTTATTATTAATGTTAAATGGTAATTTGGTTTTGTTTTATGATGAAGAAATTATATGGGATACTAAAAGTTTTTGTAAGGAAAGTCATTGTACTTTGATATCAGTGTTCACTATTCAAAATGATTGTAATTTAGTAATTTATAATGCAAAATATCCTAATACTGTATTATGGTCGTCAAAAACCTCACATCATAAGTTCTGTTATATTTAATTATTAAAAAGCATTATCGTTCTAGGTTTACTTAATAAAATTTAGTAATTTTAGCTAAATAATAATAACCTATCATTTGTGATCTCCTCTAACAATTATTTAAGTAGTGGTGGAGTTGCTATTATTCTTTTAGATGTATGTAAATGTATATTTTTTTAAAATACCTGTTGCTCCTACTAATAATAATATAAAGTTTCTTAATGTTTTTTAAGGGACCCTTTGATAGTTTAATTCCATATACACATCTTCTAATCAAGCAAAGTTAGTAGAACCAGCAAAAGGAGCAGCAAGCCTGGACAACAATCCGCTGTTGGCAGCATCACTGTTGCTGCTGGAAGACAATGATGATCCTTGGTTACTACGCGAGCTCAAATTCTTGGTGGAAACGTTCCTTGGCACGTCGACAGTGAGGCACAGATCTACATTCCCACGAAGATCCAAGTTCTCGCCTAAGATGAAATCTCTTTGGAAAGGCACTGGCCCGGAGAGAAGATTGTTGCTGAGATTGAGATGATAGATGTTGGAGAGCATACCGCAGAAAGCTCAAATCCTCACGAGCTCCGGCGATCACACTTGCATCTTGTAGGACGTGGAGGCACAGAAACACCTAGCGCAGTTTGGTTCTGAGTCGTCCTCGGGTACACGTCTGATGTCATGAGGTGAGACTGACTACGAGAGATGCTTTCTACCAGATTCAAGCACACGAGTTTGTGGCAAACCGCAAATCATTCGAACTAGATGGCGTCAAGAACTCCTGCAACTGAGCACACGCTCGTCCTCATCGACATCTGTGGCTGCGACATGGAAGAGTCAAAGGACGAGACTGAGAGCTCTTTCAACGAAGGCGAAGCCCGCATTGCTATTGCTCACGCCCAAAAACTCGTGGAAAGTGGAGTTAAGGCTATTGACATTGGAATAGTCACGCCGTATGCGGCCCAGGTATCTATATATTGTTTCATGGTTTACTTGTCTCTAAGTTTCATGCAATGCAGGTGAATGTTCTGAGGCGCATGAGAAATGAGGAACAGCGTTTACTGGAAGTGGAAATCAGCACTATTGACGGTTTTCAAGGCCGGGAGAAGGAAGCAATGATAATTTCCATGGTTCGCTCCAACGATAAAAAAGAGGTGTGGTTTTCTTGTTGAGGTAGCAGTGAGAGTAAAAGCTTTTGCCTTAGGTTTGGTTCTTGAGTGGCAAGCGGAGGATGAACGTTGCAGTTACGAGAGCAAAAAGACAATGCTGTGTCATATGTGATTCGGACACTGTGGTAAAAGATTTCTCAAGCGGTTTTTGAATTATTTTCAGAATATTGTTATGGTCTTTATTA